GTCAGTGGTCCCCAAACTGCGGCCCTTTGCTTGCTTTTATCTGGCCCTTGGGGCACAATTTCATCCACCTATACCAACATTGGGACATAATTCCCCCCCAATTAACACTAATAAAAGAGCAAAATTTGACCCAATGATCAGGCACAATGACAAAAATAATGAGGCATAATTCCCTCCCAGTGACAACAATGGGTCACTGTGACGGGAGTGACTTTTGGGGGTGGGGGGACCTCTGTATCATCTTCCCAAATTCTTATGTTTAAGTGACCCTGTGCCTGTTAGGGTGCAGGGTGTGTATGTGAATGTCTATTGTGTATTGGTGTGTCGTCCTTTGTTCTCGGCCACATGGCTGTCTATTGTCCTTTTGCCATGTGCTGCCCCATTGTTCTGTGTCTTGGTTGGATGGGGAGGGGTGATGATGTGTTTCCTGTAGCCCTACCCACTGATGGGGTGGGCTGATGATGTGTTTCCTGTTCCTGGTTGTGTTTCCCCGCCCTGTGTATATAACTTGTTGTGTGTGTAAAATAAAGTAGTTGACTTCCTGTTTTAAGAAGAGTCGGGTGCTGTCTATTTCCTGAGGGATTTCAAGGGTGTGGTCCGTGGATTTGTGTTCGGACAGAGAAGCTGCGGTATAACGGAATATACCCAAGTGCGGTCTGGGGTCCGGTTCTGTTACAGTCACAATTCCTCCGAATGACACCAATGATAGATGACAATTCCTCCCAATGACACCAATAATGAGTCACAATTCCTCGCAATGACACCAATAATGGATCGCAATTTCTCCCAATGACACCAATAATGGGTCGCAATTCCTCGCAATGACAGCTATGATGGGCTGCAATTCCTCCCACTGACAACAAAGATGGGACATTGTCTGTTCCCACTGATGTCAGGACCTTTTCTACTCCCAATAGCCAAAGTCTGACCCCCTTGAAGTCTCAAAGGACAGTAAACTGGCCCTTTGTTTAGAAAGTTTGGAGACCCCTGGCCTAGGTGATTGGGGAGGGGAGGGGACAACTTCTACTTCCATAGTCTTCTGGGACATGCGACCGGTACCAGAAGACTATGGGACCATTCACAAAGTGCAGCGCTACTTGAGTCGGGTGCCCACACTTAGGATGCTGCCAGTGAAAATGGCTGGATTGTTGGACAGGTGAGTGGCTATTTTTTAAAAATCAGTAGCTACAGGTTTTGTAGCTGCTGTCTTTTATTTTTTTTTTATCTTTGACTGGAGCTCTGCTTTAATGACATTGGCTGTATGTTTGGAGTTGTTGTCCTGCTGCAGAATAAATTTTAAAATCAGTCACACGCCTCCCTGATGGTATGGCATGATGTATAAATATCTGCCTGTATTTCTCAGCATTGAGGACACCATTGATCCTGACCAAATCTTCCTCCATTTTCAGAAATACAGCCCCAAACTTGCAAGTAACCTCCACCATGCTTCACTGTTGCCTTCAGACACTCATTATTGTACCGCTCTCCAGCCCTTCGGCAAATTAACTGCTTCCTGCTACAGCCAAATATTTAACATTTTGACTCATCAGTCCAGAGCTCCTGCTACATTCATTGTTTTGTGTTGAGTTGCTTAGCTTTGTTTCCATGCCGGAGGTATGGCTTTTTGGCTGTAATTCTTCCATGAAGAAGACGTCTGGCCAGGCTTCTCCAGGCAGTAGATGGTTGTACCTGGGTCCTACTGGTTTTCACAAGTTGTTTGCTGATGATACTGCTGGACAACTTCTATGAAGACCACATCTAGATGGTAGATGGGTGTACCTGGTTTCTGCCAGTTTTGTGTGGATGGCACTGCTGGACATCTTCTGATGTTGAAGGGAAGAGAGCATGATATGTCTTTCATCTGCTGCATGTGTTTCCTTGGCCTACCACTGTGTCAACGATCCTCAACATTGCCCATTTCTTTGTGTTTCTTTAAAAGAGCTTTAATAGCACATCGTGAAATCCCAGTCTGTTTTGAATTCTTTGCCTGGTAGAGACCTTGCTGATGCGGTAGAATTACCTTATGTCTTGTTTTTGTGCTCAGTCTTGCCATGGTGTATGAGCTGCGACATGAAACTGTCTTTCACAACCTCACCGTAGGAGCAGAGTTTGACTGTTTCTGTCCCAGTTTTAAGCCTCCTGCACAGCGGTTTCTGTTTCAGTTATCAACTGTTTTGACCTACATATGACATTGATGATCATTAGCACCTGCTTGATATACCTGGTTAATCGTACACCTGACTTTTTACCTATAAAATCCCTGACTTTATGCAAGTGTACAAAGTGTACATTGCTATTGGTTTGAAGCCAAATGGTAGTCACACTAAATATTGGTTTGATTTAGATTTTTCTTCTGTTTACTCACTTTATATTTATATATCTAAAAATCAATTTACAAAATGCAAACAATCAAAATATACATTTTTGAAAGCATTCTTACTTTACATAATTTCTTCACACCTGCTTAAAACTTTTGCACAGTAGTGTATGTTTACATACATTCATACAAACACATACTAGGGCCAGTTTGACAGGAACCAATTATCTTACCAGCATGTCTATGGAGTGTGGGAGGAAACTGGAGCACCCCGAGGTACCCTACACAAACATGCAAAATGAATGCAAAAAGTGTCCTGGCTGGGATTCCATTTGCGGACCCTGGTACTGAAAGTTCTAACCACTAAGGCACTGTAGTTTTTTTGTATGTAAGCCTGCATCTCTTTTCTCTTGCTGTATATCTGGAAGACACAAAAAGGCTATTTGGAACAGCAAAGCGTTAGAAATGCTACTCCAGGACACAAGCACGGGTTTTACCAGTGTTTGAGCGTAGCAGTACTGTTGGTATTCACTGATGATAGCCACAGGCACTAAGTTTGTTACAGTTCTGTCTTATAAACAAAACCATATCTGAGACAATATGGAGAATTGTAATACTCCCAACATGCCAAAAGTAAATAGGATGGGATTTTTATTTTTAAAAACTGCTTACTATAAGTAATATAATTTTCATAAACATTCATCAATGTTTATTGGATTTGAAGTGAGGATATTAAACAATCTAATACAGAGTCGTTTTTTTTTTTCAATACACAACACACATTTCCTAAGCATATAAGGATACCTGCAGAACCCTTAGATGTCTGCCCCAGCACCTTGAAACTCCCAAATTCCACATCATTCTCTTGTGCAAATGTTAACACTTTTAGTGCTAAAGACTCGTACCCTTCAGACTTTCCCATTTGCCCTCATAGCTGCTCTTCATAATGCTGGACCAATAGCAAACCATAAACATTTTATAGGATAGTGGTGTGGAGGTCAGAGGGTCTTGGGGTTCTGGAGCAGGTATCTGAAGGTCTGTGCAGTCCCACCTAGGTACTTTGTGTTGTACTACTATAGTCAGCCCCTTCCTGCCCAGGCCAGTTTTCAGCTTGCAGTGATATTACACTTTGAATGACAATTGTGCGGTCATGGAATACTGTACCCAATATTATTATTATTATTATAATACAGGATTTATATAGCGCCAACGGTTTGCTCAGCGCTTTACATACCCATTAAGTTTGTATCTTTTTTTTTTTTGAGACAGATAGAGCTTTGTTTTGGTGGTATTTAAATAAGTTGACATTTTGGACAAAATTTTATAAATGCACATTTTTTTTCAGGCAAAAAAAAGTGCATTTATTATTTTTGTCCAAAGGATCCTGGAAAGCATTGCACCAGTGATCAATGGATCACTGATACCATGCAGGTCTCCTGGAGACCTGTCAGAATATCTGCTTGCCATACGGGATGTGCGAACAAGCAGATAAACTGAAAGGAAGCTTCAATGAACTACCACAGCGCTGTGGTAGTTCGTTGAAAACTACAAGCCGACAACCGCTAAGGCTGTCAGGACTTGTAGGCACTCATTCACAGAACTCCGTGAATGAGTGGCATGGCTATGTGGGCGGAGCCCCGCATGGCCACGCTGTTTTCAGATCTGGCAGATAGTACGGGAAACTTCTCCCAGTACTATCTGTCAGAGGGAGGGGGGGGGGTGGCAGGGGCGACTGCTGCTAAAAATGGGTGGAACATGTTACATGTTCTAAAGGTGAACATATCCTTTATGCACCACTGTTTTGTTTTTTGCTAAACAAACATGGATATTTAGTTTTGCTCTGATGGGCGGCATTGATAGGTTGCACTGATGGGGCTGCACTGATAATCAGGGCACTGATCATCAGTGCCCTGATCAGAGAAAACGATGTCTTGGCAGGCTTGCTGGTTAAAGGTTCTCTTTTCCTGCCACAGACACAGTATGGAAGGAAAGGAATGATGATAACCAGCAATCTGTTTCCATGTGATCAGCTGTAATAGGACACAGGTGATCACATGGTAAAGGGCTGCTGTGATTGTCCCTTTACCCCAATCTGTGAGAGAGTGTGCCCAATGTGCACAGCAGGAGGCGCATGGGAGCGGGGTTCTTGAAGGACGTCTATTGGCGCCCTCCCAGAACTGGATGACTGCGCTGTAGCCATCTTTCAGCTATAGTGCAGTCGGCAAGTGGTTAAAGTACATTTAAACTCTTAATAGTGAACTATTCTTGTCAGTTTAATATACCATTTGAAGTATTTTTTTATATGTCTATTAAAGAACCTTACTCGTTCTCATCTTGGACTACAGATTGATTAGCTGGGGAAATAAATGTTGCCCATTTGTGTTTTAGATTGAGGCTTTATGTCAGGAGTAGGCAAACTTGGCACTCCATCTGTTATAAAAATAAAAGTCTCATGAGGCATTGCAAGACACTGACAGCCAGCACAAGCATGACTCCTAGAGCTAGAGGCATGGTGGGATTTGTAATTTCGCTACAGCTGCAGTGCCAAGGTTGCATACCTCTGCTTTATGTACTGCAGTTCCCCTTTAATGTTTTATTTATGTGAATGTACAGTACTCCTTTGAGGATGAACAAACAGGTTGCTTTTTGTAATGTAAGTTTATCTTTCTCTCACTTTTGTCAGGGTTTGTCATCTGCGGGTGTAGTGTCTGATAACTCACCTAAAAGTACAGAATGTGACAATAAGGAAGGTATGTCAGTAGATGAAGGTCACTGCGAGGCCGTCAGTGATGACTCTGACATTGTCACCTTGGATCCTCCCAAGGCTGATGAAGCTGGAACTCAAGGAGAAGAAGAAGAGGAAATTCCAGAGGATGGCACTGAAAGCAATGACCTTAACATGAGCTTTTCTTCAAGCAGTCAGTACACATTCAGTCAGCCAGAAACTGGTAAGATTCTGCATGGAAGGTTATTTATACTTTACAGAGTATTGTCACAGATGAACCTTTCTCTGTACCAGTAATAGATGGGTAGCCTTGTCCCGGTGTTGGCAGATCTAAATTATCAAATACAGTTGAGTTGTGTTCAAAATAATAGCAGTCAGACATCACTAACCTGATCAATCACTGTTTTTGGTAGAAATGATATTTCTACATGGCAAATAATTTACTAGCAGGTGTAGTAGAGTAATAGAAATCCAACAGACCCAACAGTCATGACATGCATGCTGCTGATTCTGTGTAATTGAATCACTAATTGAAAGGGGCATGTTCAAAATAATAGCAGTGTGGAGTTCTATTAGTGAGGTCATTCATTCTTTGAAAAACAGGTGGCAATTATTGCCCTTATTTAAGGAAGCAAATGTTGTACATGCTGGTTACAGTGCATTTCTCTCTGAAATTCTGAGGAAAATGGGTTGTTCCAGACATTGTTCAGAAGAACAGCGTACCTTGATTAAAAAGTTGATTGGAGAGGGGAAAAACATATAAAGAAGTGCAGAAAATGATAGGCTGCTCAGCTAAAATGATCGCAAATGCTTTAAAATGGCAACCAAAACCTGAAAGACGTGGAAGAAAGTGAAAAAACTACCATTCGAATGGATAGAAGAATAGCCAAAATGGCAAGGACTCAGCCAACAATCAGCTCCAGGAAGATGAAAGAAGGTCTAAAATTACCTGTGAGTACTGTTACAATTAGAAGACGCCTTTGTGAAGCCAAGCTATCTGCAAGAAGCCCTCACAAAGTCCCACTGTTGAAAAAAAGACATGCTGAAGAGGTTACAATTTGCCAAAGAGCACATTGACTGGCCTAAAGAGAAATGGCGCAACATTTTGTAGACTGATGAAAGTAAGATTGTTCTTTTTGGGTCTAGTGGCCGGAGACAGTTTGTCAGACGACCCCCAAACACTGAATTCAAGCCACAGTACACTGTGAAGACAGTGGACATGGTTGCGCAAGCATCATGATATGGGGATGTTTCTCATACTACGGTGTTGGGCCTTTTTATCGCATACCAGGGATCATGGATCAGTTTGAATACATCAGAATACTTGAAGAGGTCATGCTGCCTTATGCTGAAGAGGAAATGCCCTTGAAATGGGTGTTCCAACATGACAACGACCCCAAACACACCAGTAAATGTGCAACATCTTGGTTCCAGACCAACAAGATTGACGTTATGGAGTGGCCAGCACAATCCCCGGATCTTAATCCAATAGAAAACTTGTGGGGTGACATGAAAAATGCAGTTTCTGAGGCAAAACCAAGAAATAGAGAAGAACTGTGGAATGTAGTCCAATCATCCTGGGCTGGAATACCTGTTCACAGGTGCCAGAAGTTGGGTGACTCCATGCAACACAGATGTACAGCAGTTCTCAGAAACAGTGCCTATACAACAAAATATTCATTAAGTGATTCAAAGGAAAGCAAAATCTTCAAACATTTTTCAGTTTATATAGTGAATGTTTGAGTTTGTAAAGAAGAATACAAACGCTGCTATTTTTTTGAACAGTCTAATATTCACTTTTCTTCAATTCTTTTAGAGGAACAACACAAATTTGATATATTTTTCTTCATGTTTTGATTTGGAATAGAATTTGTAGTGTTCCCAATGCATTTGTGTGTATGGAAATGAAAGCTATTAGAAGGATTTTGAGCTTTATTTACTTTTTTCAACACACTGCTATTATTTTGAACACAACTGTAGAACATCAATCATACTATGTTATTATTGAAAGCCCATCTGATGTTTTCCTTCACAGTATATAAACCATTTCAGGGTACAGCCAAACAGTAAATGATGAAGATCCTACTTTTGATTTATGGTGCTAGATGAGCTTCTTTAGGGTGAAATCAGCCTAAATTCCCCCAAGGTTTTTAGCTGCAGAGAGTCCTACTAATCTCTGTCTGGATGTAGGGGTCAGCAATCCAACACCCACCTGCTAAGTCAAAAGTAGAGCTATAAAAGGAGCATTCTATTTAACGGGATGTGTCGGACTGCTGTAGAGTGAATGCTACTTCCATAAAAAGAGCAGCGGTCCTCTACAGATAATTTCAGTTTAACATATCTTGAACTGGGGATTAAAAAAAAAAAAAATATCTGAAGCAAAAATCCTTACGCTAAAGTAAATGACAAGAGACTCAAGGCAGATTGTTTGTTCTGTAGTAGGATGCAATAGGTAACTTTGTTTCACACTGCTCATTAACTGTCTAACTTTCTTCCTTCATTTTTCTTTCTTTCAAATTATGTTTTGTGTTCTTTACAAATGGTGTCCGGTGGAGCAGTGAGTAAGAGGCTTATTATGTGAGGGCATGGCTTAGTGAATAAAAGCATGTTGTTGTTCACTATAGAATATCCTAATAGTGTGAAACTCACTCAAAATGCTGCAAAACTACTAACACAAAATTGTAATAAGTAAAGGTATTTTTTAATTGCCGATGCATGTTAACAAGGAAACCGTTTAAGCCAGCTTATAATATGTCCAAGTGCAGCTCCCACACAGAAACCTTGTTTGCTCAAATGTTAATTGATAATATGTGGCCTGCCAGCGTAAAGGTTATACAGTAAATGACTGGTGGACAGCATATTAAAGGAAACGTATGGCCAAAGCTATTTTGGCTATATTTCTCCTGGGGAACATAGGAGTGCACTCCGGTGACCTTTTTTCAGCCGACAGCAGGCTAAAGCTTGTTTATTGGCTAACGCCACTTAGCTGGCCCCGGCTCTTGAAAGATCCTGACTTTAAAGTTGGGACCCACCCAGACTGCTGGAGCGGCAGCTGGTTCAGCCTCTCAGCATGCCAACGAGAGCCTGAGCCAACCGCTCTTACCTGTTTCACAGCCTGGTGTTCCAGTGACTGCTGAATGGGGCAGAACAGAGTGCAGTGATTGACAGTCGCCACTCTCCACTCAGAGCAGAGGGGAGAGCCGAGCAATCTGTGGTGTTTCATTACTTGGTTTTCAATGCAGAGCCAACAGGGTAGAGATGCAGCATCAGACCAATGCTACATCCGCCTAAGTGAGTATAAATGTTTTTTTTTAATAAACCCGTACTTCTGTCTGGTATAGAGAAGAGCCTGGAACGCATGACATTGGATATTTAACCTAAACATAGCAACTCCTGATGAGCAGTTTAATAGGCTATATCAGAAGAGGTATACTAACTAACCAGCTATATTTGTCTTCTGAATGAATTTTGAATATGTAGTTTTATTTAACTTGCCCTGCACAAAATCACTAACCTCCATGAAAGCAGTTCTTGCTCCACGTCCTTTGTTTTTCCATCCTATATTTTATTTTGCAAACATGCCTGGTCTAGCGGGGTACAAGAGAATGCACTGTCTGATGAATATGTGCCAGGTTAGGCAAATTTGAAACATGGCAAATCAAAAGATTGGTTTGTGATTTACATGAGAGTAGCATTCCCAGGTTTCTGGATGAGCCTGCAGGGCTCTCTCTGCCTCAGGTACAAATGGTTTTGGTACTACTCAGCTATGTTAGGTTACAAGCATTGAACCACAGCCTGAGTATTCCAGCATTAGACTGTAAAACAGCACTGCAAAGTATATTGGCTATGGATCATATGGCATACCTGCAGCTCAAGTGCCAGGCTGAAAGAAGCTATAGAATGTCAGGCTGAGAGAGAGGCTGCAGAGCACCAGGCATAGAGGGAAGCTTCCCACCAACATCAAATGGAAATAGCTAAGCTTGAGCAACAGCATCAGGATCAGTCCTTCAGTTTCCTTGAGCGTAGGGAAGCACCTTGTACTGTAAGCCCTGCAGCTAATTCCAGTAACAGAGAAGGGCAGTGATATTGATACTCATTTGGTATCAAAAATGTGTTGTCAGTACCACTTACCACAGATAGAGTAGCTTCAGTATTTGACACCAGGGCTGAGAGGTAAAACCCTGGAGGCCTATGTGGCATTGCCAACCGAGGAGGATGAGGATTACGAGGCCATAAAAGTAGATATAATCACAAGGTATCAATTGACCCCAGAAGAATACTGAAAGAAGTGCATGTCACTGCAGAAAGGACCTGTATACACTTACACCACCACATCCTGGCAGTGGAGTAAAGAACTGAAAGGACCAATTCCTTTGTACTGTTCAGCAGTAGAAAAGCCAGGGGCAACATCAACAACCTACAGCCTGTTACTGTGGGCAGACAAACAGTTACTGGCATGTGATACACTGGCACAGAGGTCACACTCCTTCGCTCTGAGAGAGTTTCACCCTGGATAATCTCCTTTTACTGGAGTTGGGAGAACCTGCTCACGGGTACCTCGTGCATGGGTTTTCATTGGTTCGGGGATTGGAAGTGGGATAAGACTGGGATGAAATTCCCACACCGATGCACGGATCGTGGGCCTCTGGTCTCATAATATGCGCGTTCTGATGATACCCAGGATTCACCAACCCAATTCTTTGGACATGCCAGAGTACTGTGTAAAAATGTGGGTATGACATCTTGGCTAATTGGGAATGAACAGAGGGAGGGAAGCTTGGTGGAGGTACACAGTTCTTCTAGGAAACCTGATGAAGTGACCGGCTTGCATGCAGTTACCCGATACATGTATGTTTGAAGTAAATGTAATTCCTCTAGTACATCACTTGGAAACCAATAAGACCAAGGCTCGATAGAGGCAGATACTTTCCTGACCTAACATACTTACTGACATAGTCAACTACTGTCAGTCCTATGTTACCTGCCAGCAGGTTATCGAAACAGAATACGTTCACAGGGCTTCACTGAAATCTTTTCTTGTAATTGATGAACCTTTAGGAGAGTGCTGATGGATATTATTGAGCCAATAGCCATCCCAAGAAGTTCAGGCGAAGGATACATCTTGACATTTTTAACTATGCCACCTGACACCCAGATGCGTTTGCGCTCTCCTCTCTCAGGGTGGAGAACGTCACTGATGGTTTATTGGGGATTGTTAGGGGA